TTATGGAGTCTATACTTGACTCCTAGTGGGCTGGGATCCCATGTGTTATACTAAAACCTTGAGTGTACTCAACAAGCCTTAATATAATATTTGGGTAGATATTATTATTAATCGTATTTCCATACAACTCCCAGATCATTAAACTGATAACTCTTTGTCTTCACACATCTTATATGTTAGCTTAACATTTCTCTAAAATTTATCTCCTTGAGTGTACTCAACAAAAGATAAATTTTAGTTAAGTCGGACCCATCATTCAGAAATATCTAATATTTCATAGTATCAAATATATCCCTAATAGACCAGTCTTGAGTGTACTCAACAAGTTGAGACGATTTGAGACTCTGATTTTTCACTATAATAATGGAAGGCGAATAATAAGTTGACTTAATATTTTATGAAGGGATTTTCATTCAAAAGTTTCATCAACAACGATACAATCATATATATTTTATTATACATCTACCATTGACCCCTAATTTTAATTGCAAGTAAGGGGCCCACAATTTCACAAATTGCACAACAACCCCCGCCTCCAACTTCCCTCATCCATTTTTCTGTTGCCCTAGAATTATTTTTTTTAGTTCCTCCCGGCGTCGATAGAGACGCCGCGCCTCATGATGGTGGCGGCCATCCAGTAGCGACAAGCAGCAGCAGCGCACTGAAATCTAGCTGCTGCTGCCGTAGCAGATGTGACAGCAAGCGTCACGCTCGCTGCTGGCTCCTCGTCGGTGGTGGCAATCGCTCTTTTTTTATTTAGATCCAAAATTTATTTTGCTTTTAAATCAAATTTTGAATTAGATTTCAAAATTTATATTTCTTTTCAAAATCAAATTTTGAAAATATGAAAATCAAAATTTCTAAATCCAAGAAAAACATGATGAAATCAACTTTTGATTTCATTAATATGTAAATCAATTCCTAACAAATACAAAGTAGGCTCTGATACCACTGTTGGGAATCTATTTAAACATACACAGCGAAAATTAAAATAGATTTCGATTCCCACCATGAATCTTTTTTGTGTTTAGATAGAAATTGTGATAAAAGATGTACCTTTGAAAACTTCTGCAAACCTTTTGCCATTTTCTTCGTTCCAGCAACTTTGATCTGCCACCCACAGCTGTTCAATTGTCCAGCCTCCAACGATGATCCATATAGAAAACAAAATTGCAAGATTATGATTTTCTTCTTGTACTAACAAGAATAATAAAATTCTCTACAGATATTGAAAATTCTAGTCATGTTTATATAAGCCCAAATGGGTTTGGCTTGACCCGGTTCAATATTTAATTAACCCATTTAATTAAATTTGGTCTGTAAATTAATTAAACAAATTAATTAATTCGGGCTTATAAATAACCAACCCAATTAATTAATTTATCCAACGATTGTTAAATTAATTAATTGACAAATTGCAATATTTCAATTCACTTTTGTGTGCGACCCATCAGGTTCCTGATCACGATACTTAACGATGTGAAATATTATTTTGATCTAATAAAATTTGATAAATTAAAACATCATTTTAATTTATCACAAATTCACACTCACCGTCCCAAATCGACATCTAGCAATGTGTCAGGGTAATACATGTGACGGAAAATATCACGTGGTATGACAAAATCAAACTCGTTCGTTTACCGTGAAATTATAATCCATTAGTCAATATGATTCGATCAATTACAAGATATGGAAGTGTGTCAACCCTGATTATCGATCATATCTTTTCCTCTACTATTAAGTCAATATAAGTCAAAAACTTTTTTTCGACTTATGAGTACATCTTGACCAAAGATTTCGTTATCGACTTAATTGAATGAAACGCGGATCATAATTTCTAACTATCTAAGAGTGACGAATTCTCTATTGGTCATTCACAACTTTTATATGATTTTTGACATATCTGAACGATGCCATATTAGCGGCCCTTGGCAGAGCAACATCCAATACCGTCAAAGTATGATTGGTCTCATATGAGGTACCATGATGACCTCAAGTTAAAGGACCAATTCCACTACCGAATGTTAGAGATTAACCACTGACACTCAAATAGTTATCCATGTGAAATCTTTCGGTGGGTTTTCAATGTTTTGTTCTATAACAAAACATTTACGTGTTCATTTAAGTGTCACTACACTTTAACTTGTGAGATCAGCTACTTACTTCACAAATAAGAAATGCAACACATGATAGTCTATCCGTAATAACGATATATGTATCTCGTTATTACTTACGACCACGGACGATTTAAGATTCAATTATATGTAATTTGTATCTCACAATTACAACTCCTTGTAATTAACAAATTACGAAGATTTGAATATACGAACTTTATTATTTAATTTAATTGTCGATTAATTAAATAATAGATTTGTCATTAAATTGCATTAATTATATATTAAAAGTATTTATGTCCAAAGTTGATTGAACTTAGGGCATAACACTTACGGCTGTCACATACATGCATTTGTAGATGATTTTAGCTAGAGTGAGGCTGCAAGAAATTAATGCTTGCATAAACAAGGATTGCTATACATATGCAAACCACTTTCTTCTTTATTTAGGTGTTGCTTATGACTCAAGATAAAGAATGACTTGAGTGATTGGTCATGTTTTTTAATACTTAAAATAGGGTTCCTTTCATAAGAGTGACAATCGTGTTAGAATTTGTTAGAACTTTTAGCTCGTATCATTCTTGTTGATGTAAGAATTTGTTAGAACTTTTGCTTTACTTGTTAAGTTGAAATCAAGGCTTGAATTTGCGAAGGGACAACCGTGCAAGTCTACTCCACTATCCAAAAGAAATGAATAAGGATGTTTGAATTTTAGATTGGTAATTATAAACAAATTGACAGAGTGGCTTAAATTTTAATTTTGCATGCATGAAGCATGGTGAGAGAAGCTTGTACTGGGGTCGGCTCGAGGAGCTTCCAACAGTTGACATCTCTACTTGTGCGACATGTTGATTTGTCAATCAGACAACTTTAATATCTCATCATTAACAGTAAGAGTCGGAGAAGGACAATCAAGCATTCTATAAAACCAGTGTTCTTAAGACTAAAGAATCAGGTGGAAAGGAGGGAAGCTCTCCATTCCTACTTCTCCTGTAGCTAGAACCATCGAAACCACATGAATCCTTAGTTAGGCACGCTATGAGCTTTCTTATCGTGCGCCAATAAGATGTAATGAATATGATTTGTAGAAGTAACAAGTGCTTTGTCATTTGTTGAGCGTAAATCTCAATCAAGATGGAGCCGAGCTGGATCCATTGGTCTTGTATCAAACTAGTTCGGTTTTCTCAACATGGTTTAGATATAGTTATTCGAGCAAAGATTTGACCAGTAGCTAACCTTGAGGCCTGGTGATTATCTTCGTTTGACCCTTCTTGAAGTTATTTCAGCCCTTTGAATACAGTCCAGTTGACAGATGACTTACTTTATAGCGGATCTAACAATTCCTATTTTTTTCCCTCTTAATTTTAAATTTTGGATTCTTGGGAGCCTCATGTGTGTTCGGGTGTAATCAAGATGGAGCCGAGCTGGATCCATTGGTCTTGTATCAAACTAGTTCGGTTTTCTCAACATGGTTTAGATATAGTTATTCGAGCAAAGATTTGACCAGTAGCTAACCTTGAGGCCTTGTGATTATCTTCGTTTGACCCTTCTTGAAGTTATTTCAGCCCTTTGAATACAGTCCAGTTGACAGATGACTTATTTTATAGCGGATCTAACAATTCCTATTTTTTTCCCTCTTAATTTTAAATTTTGGATTCTTGGGAGCCTCATGTGTGTTCGGGTGGTGGTTGTGGGTGGTGCCCGGTGTCTTATATGTCTCATAACACTACATGCATGCCAAAGTGCAAATCAGAAAGGGATTTGCACGTTCAAATTTTGCTATTTTGGCATGTTCAACTCCCAAATGATGTACGTGTGTGTATAATAAACACTTCGCGTTGTTAGATAACAATTAAAATTTTAAAATATTTTGATAAAAGTTGATGGAATGTGGGGATGAAAAGTTATGGTCTCATGAAATTTGAAATTAATTAGAGACTTTGATTTTTTTTCAACTTTTTATCTGAATCAAACAACATAATATTCAACAATCTATAACCATCTCGAATAGGGAACCAGTAACCAAAAACACAAACGGAGTTTCCAATCCCTCACTCCATGTTTGGTTTACTGTATCTGGTAGTTAAACACGTGCTGTAATAAACAAGATTTTAACATTTTTTTTTTTTTTTTTTTATTAAGTGGTGTCCACTAGTATCCAATCCTCTCTATCCAACCTGCAATCCGCACATATCAAATAAATCTATGGCATTGAACTGGCAAAATATGCTTAAAAATCTTGGGAAGGAAAATGACACCCGGAAAACTATCAGAAACATTTAATGCTGATGTAAATCCAAAATACATTAATTTAAAAAAAATTTGCTTATATGAACAGAAGATAATACACTATGAGATAACTTGACCCTGAATATCAGGAACTTGTATCATATTTTCCAAAGGTTAGGACAAATTCCTTGTGCGTGACAGCAACGGCCTTGTATGGGAATAAGGTTAAACAAATGACGAGGAGAGCTCTCTTTGCGGAAGGAGTCCAAATGAGTTGTGGGAACCTGGGAGCCAACAAGGGCACATCCTGCGATTTACCTCCCTGAGCTGCTGAGGGGCCGGAGGTTCAGGGACAAGGATCTAGTCCGACGCAAGCCCGGACACCTTGTAAAAAAAAAAAAAAAAAAAAAAAAAAAAAAAAAAAAAAAAAAAAAAAAAAGGTTAAACAAATGGCTCAATCCTTGTCCATGGAGTTTGGGAGGGGGACAAACTGATGACTCTGCAACTTCATTTTTTCCAAACAGTAGTCCCCACAAAAGTTGGCATCAGAAAACACCCCGTAACCCCACCCCACCCCGCCCCACAATAAGGGTCCAACGAGTATCAACCACCACAAAATTGTACCTGTGTTCTATTCTTAAACGAAATCAGACCTGTGTACATGTGTGTATTTAAGTCCATGACAGCTTATTCTTTTTCAAGCTTATTTTTTTTCCTGCAGCGATACGGCATTTCCCGGGTTTGCTAAACTATGCAAATTTGTGCTTTCAGTACTCTTCTCCTATTTTTCTTTTTCGACTGGTTTCTTGGTGTGTGGTGGTGATATTTCTCTATGAATTTTATCATATTTAGCTACCAAAGTTAGAACTATAGCTTCTGTATTTTCTAACTGCAGAGTCACATTGATCAAACCAGATACCACCCTTTCTTTTTACGGTTCGTGCTTTAGAGCATGATCATGGGGTGGCAGTCGTTTGTGGTCCGAGTACAAAAGCTCCGGTCGTGGAAGAAGTGTTCGAGGTACATTCAAGAGCAAAGGACGCGTCTTTACATCATTTGGAGGTGTTTGGTGTTTCTCTTAAGATCGAAATTAGAAAGTGCAAGTTTTGATGATTGAGGTAGAAACAAGACCTCAAAATCTAGATGATCGTGTTGTCAATAAAAATGAGCCAAATCAGCTGTCCATGTCTTTCCGCGGTGGACATTCTCATCAATTTGGTATCCATGGTTGACAGCTGATCTGGCTCTTTTCTGTTTACAAGAGGGTCATCAAGATTTCGAGGCCAAAAGATAGACCATGAGAAGTATGAGCAATTTAGGGGAGGTATTTTGAAATTACAAGCAAAATGGCTCGTCTGCTACTCAAACTTGACATAGATGAGGGAAAACGAGCAGAATTCTCTCTGCCAATCCAATGCCAACAGGTTTGAAATACAAACTTTCATGGCAAGTTGGAGATGAGAAAATCAATAAGATTAATAGAGAATGTGTAAAATTTATGTAAATTAAGTTGATGGAATATAACATTGATTATCTGTTAAGACCCTGTGTTGCTGCTATGCTGCTGTTATGGTCCTGTGAAGCTCCTGGTTAATAGATTGGTTGGGGAATAGGTAAGATGAATCTGTGGAAGAATATTTCTATATTAGTAGTGTTCATCTGTAAAGCAAGAACAATTATAACTGAAGATTGTGTTAATATTTCATAGAACGTAAAAGAACAGTTCCCAGCATTCGAGAGGCTGGATTCTCTCCTAGTTGGCTCAACCAATTGCTCAATATTTGCATACCCATTCTGCTCCCTCTCCTATTACATTTATACTACTACTTGCCCCCTTAATTCCACAAACTACCCCCTGATAACTAATTGGAATTGGAACACTCTAGAATATGGCATATCCAACTTCAACGACTAACTTGGGGGTGTACCATTATCTACTTGTGTTCTCCTCCATAGACATTTACAATGCACATTTATGCTCGATCAAAACTTGTGCAGGTTTGCAGAAGTGATGAACTTTGCCTTCCGTGAACTATTGACCATTTCGATTTAAATGATATTTTAAATCCTCCGTTTTGTTATTGTTTCGAGAGTAATCTCAACAATCGATCTAGAGAAATCGACAGACCCATAGCTCAGATGATTAGAGCACATAGTTTAAATCTACTTAGAGGTTCATTGTCAATTGGTGTTATGCCTATAAGAGATGAAGAAGATTCATGTTGTTAGTATTCTGCGGAAAACTCAGCAATGGTGATTAGTCTATCAAAATCCATGATTTTTCCTAAAATAAGTAACAATTGTTTTTTCTTGTGGTTATTGCCTATAAATGTTAATAGTCAATATCTAAGTGCAGAAACCGTTAGTCGTACTTTTAACATTCAGTTTTATGTTAGTTGTCTCAAATAATACAAGCACATTACATTCCAAATTTCATAGATAGATATTTCTCTATATAAATTGACATATAGGTGGATAGATACAAAGACATTACGAAAAAGTGTTTAATGTGCCTTTGTAAGTTGGAGAGTCTATACAAGAAAAAGTAAAAAATTAAAATCTTGCTCATAATCGTGTCAAGGATTGCAATTGTCACGTATTGCGCACAAGAAATGCACGTTCCTCAACTATTTTGATTATTTCAAAATATATCTTGGCATGAGCTATTCTTTCCATTATTGCTTCTCTGCCAGTATCAAATGATTCTTGAAAGGATGTATCAGCAGACAAGTAAATTCATATTTCTAGAACCCAGCAAATTAGAGCAACATTTATAACCAGAAATTTCATTTGCTTATATTGCAAAATTTTTAGGTCAACACAAAAAACAATATGTACTCACAAAGATATATCATACCATTGTAATAATTTCTAGTCTTTCTTACTTCACCAACATTACAATAATCTCATCAAGAGCAGGGTGATCAGCTCAAACCAGTTAAAGCCCACATCTATCTTTTGTTACCGTAAGTGGCTCACCAAGATTCCTTTGCAATCTTGCAGAGGTCGAGTCGTCCTTGCCCGACTTCTTGGGGGTCTGCCCTTGCTTAATTTGGCCTCCCTGAGGAAATTCAAGAAGATTCTGAACAGTTCTAAAATTTAATTGAAAAGAAAAGTTGCACAATCTTAGTCATATTTGTTATTTGTACTTGGGTTCAAAATTTACTCGTTCCCATGATTCTAGCACAGGAAATTTGGAAAAGGCAAGCTTACATAACCATTAGCTACCATGTTAGGGTAATAGTGGCTAACGTATTTCAGCAAAGATCAAAGGAGAAAACATAATGAGAAATTTCTCGCATTAGTTCAATACTTGAGTTATAATTCTCAACAATTCATTTGACTACATTCACTTGGCAGTTTAGTACACCTATTGGCTCTTATGCACAACAGAGATGTTTCTTATGGGTTCTGATGAACTATATATTTAGTTTAAAAAAGTGCCACCAAAGTTGTAAGCATCAAGTACTTGCCGACAAGATGAATCTTCTGTCTCTCCCTGGACCCAATAGTTATCAGCATGAAGATCCAGACATCTTCAACAAATATTCGAACACATTTTTCTATTATACAAATAAAATCCCGTATGAACAAGCTACATAGATAGTTTACTTACAGCTCCTTTATGGCCAGTTAACCTCCGACTTGATGGGGCACGCGCAACAGATGAAGCAGCGGCAGCTGCTGCCACACGTATCCTGTGGCGCGGAAAAATGTCAAATTATTTTTCATCAGAAGTATCACACAATGTAACTAAAGCCTCCATACCTTTTGTGTACATCGACAAATTCATCTGTCTCATCAACAATTTCTTCCTATATTGACAGAGAGTTGCAATGATAAATTGAGTGCTTACAAAAGCAAAATGCAAAATACTGAATAGAGGTGAACAGTTAATTTACCAGTAGAATTTACCTGCAAAAGTTCTTCAAATACGTCTTCCAAGGTAATAATGCCAATTACTTCACCATCTTCAGCATCATCTGATGAAGGGACCAATCCATTAGTAACTGCATCAATATATGTTAAGTTGTTTTTAGAAGCTGGTCTGGGAAACCTTTCGATGTCTCCAATAACACTTTCCAGTTTCTCTTCTTGCTTCAATAGCAATGGAGTAGTTAAGTCTGAATTTCCATTTGTCACTTCATTCTCTTCAGACTTCTCTTCAATCGGTGGAGGTATTTTGTTATTCCCTTTTGGCTTCACAACAGCTGCCATGTGACTGCTACCTTTCTGAAACTCGTTGAGTATGTCATATAGTGGCATATCTGCAGGAACACTGAGAAGAACCTCTGTAATTGAATACTTTTATCCTTTTACAGTTAAAAAAATTCATTTATAAGCATGTAAGGATTCAATGTCATACCGTGGAATTCTCCGTATAGAAAAAGCGCTCAATGGGGTCTCTGTTTCTGCTCTGACAGTAAGAAGACTCTTTACCTGATAGTTATCGACTTGTTGAGAGTTGCATGTTTATGTATAGAATAGCAGATAATTTAATGATTCAGATATTTTACCAGTAAAAGTCCAATAATATTTTTAGGGTTGCCAGAATAGACAGGAACTCGACTATGACCCCGAGCCAAAATCTTTCCCATTGCCTCCCTGAGATAAGGGGAAAATAATTGTTTAATAGCATGTTTGTGTTTGGAGTATTGGACAGGACCTGGGAAGTATTAAAGAAGAAGAAAGAAAAATCTTGTTCATTATACTGTTGAGTAAATTGCATGCCAAATATGTACCGCAATTCTGTCTTCTAAGAAATTATGATCTAAAGTAGCACAAAAATCCTCTTTACCAGTGAGTCGAGCCAAAATCTTTTGACAAGTGTTCTTGTTTATTGCATGGGCATCAACTTCACATAATTATTTTCAAAATCTTATAACAAGAAGAAGAAACAACTAGACAATATTTCATTTGATGTAAGCCTGTCATTTAAATAACGGAGTTAAATGAACTAAAATGGAATAAAATCAAGTCACTTAAACTGAAATTGATAGCATGTACAAATTATCAGAAAAAGAAGATTTAGCCCTTGTTTGAGCCCATTTTTTGGGGGGAATATGTTTTGGAATGGTTATTTTTTGGAGAATATATGGTTAAAAATAGGAAAAGGTTTTTGGATTTACGTGTAAAATTAATTTATAGGAGAATGTGAGGTTGAAAATGAGTTTTTGGGAAATATGGGGCTCAAAAAGGGGCTTATCATAATTGAGTTATTCTGTAATAAAAGGCTTGTGTAAGTTGCCAAACTTTACAACCTAGAAGTGCCTAGCCAGTAAACACAAGGTCAGATTGATGTTAGCATTTCCTTTGGATAGAGACATGGGGCTCTCAAATTTGCAATTTATACTAGCCCATGATGCACGGAACCTGCTACTAGTGAGGCATGTCCATGTCCGACACGTCTTGTCTGTCGCTAACACTCCTTGGACCCTCTATGACGTACTTGATGTATTTTTCCTTCCCCGGCACTCTAGCATACATAAAATATTTCATTTCACAATTAACAAGTAGTTATGATTCACATATGCTTTTTGGGAGAATAGGAATACTTTTATAGTATATCACTTCTGCTTTTCAAAGGCAATTTCTGATTAAGCTACTGTGCAGTAATGAAGCTATTAAGATATAGAGTAAAGGTTTGCAATTAAGATGAGTACATTGATCTGAGGACTTACAAAGGCAATATTTTAACTAGGTGAGAGGTTGTAGATCAGTTAGAGGATAAGGGGTCTTAAGGGAAGATCTTGGGAGTAAAACAGTTGTATTGTGAATCTAGCTACGAGTGATCAACTTGTTAGAGTTGATCTGTTGGCATGTACTGAAATTTAGATGGATTAAAGATGGAGATGCAAATTAGAAGTCACTTCATAGATTAGTAAGGTTTAGGAAGTCTGGGAACATGTTCAACTAATTGAAAGTATGGGTGCAAGATTCTTGATAAGAACCAGGACATAGAGAAGAAAATAATCTTTCTTTCATTTGATCTCTTTATTATAAATGTTTTGAGTTATTTTTATGAATACAGATTCTAGACTGGGTACTAGGACACAATGAGGCACTGTTTAGACGAGCCCAGCTGAAGGCTCTTGTTTCTATCCACGGCCAGGAGGTAACAACATTTTCTTTTATTCTTTCTCTTCTTTCAATTGAATGGTATTGGATGATTATATTTAACACTTAATATTTTTGTATAATAGAACTGCCAAGTTTCATTCTCTCTTAGTTTTTTTTCTTGCACCCCACTTAACATTAATACTTTTCTTTAGGCTGGCAGCACAGAAAATAAAAAGTCGGTGAGCAATTCTTACCAGTCCAACTTTGAATTGACATCCAAGGAAAAAGTTGATTCGATTGGTGTCATGGCTTCCTCGGCAGTCTGTTAGGATATGTGGGTAAAGAAGTGAGAGAAATGAAGAACGTGTGGGTTTTGACTTTGAAAATATTACAACAATTTTGTTTTATTTACGAGTAACATGACTATGGTCTAATGCAGTCTTGATGGAAGGCAAGACCAGGCAGGAGGTAGAGAATTATAAAACGACTTACTAGATGCAATTTATTATGGATTGAATCATGAAGCAAACTCGGGTGGAAGATCAGAGAAGTAAACAGAAGATAATGTTCAAGAAAATCTATGTTGAAACTTCAATCCTCAAGGTCAAACAAAAGTACTAAGATTTTGGCTTAAAAAGTTTGAATTCTTCTTTTCAACATCTCTTCCACTTTTACACAAAAGGAACTAATAATTAAAGAATATTTCAATTATTTTAGAATGTGAATATGTATATCAAACGTAAATTACTTATGAAAAATTCCAAAGTAATAAAAGCTACAGTGTTCAACAAGCTAATTTCTGAACTGGACATACCTTCTCAGTCAAATCTAGTGCTCCACTAATAATTGTTGTCTCATCATGTGTAAGCTCACCTCCTTTACCAGCCTAAAGAAAAGTATGAACGCTAAGTGGGGTGCAAGAAAAAAACTAAGAGAGAATGAAACTTGGCAGTTTTATTATACAAAAATATTAAGTGTTAAATATAATCATCCAATACCATTCAATTGAAAGAAGAGAAAGAATACAAGAAAATGTTGTTACCTCCTGGCCGTGGATAGAGACAAGAGCCTTCAGCTGGGCTCGTCTAAACAGTGCCTCATTGTGTCCTAGTACACAGTCTAGAATCTGTATTCATAAAAATAACTCAAAACATTTATAATAAAGAGATCAAATGAAAGAAAGATTATTTTCTTCTCTATGTCCTGGTACTTATCAAGAATCTTGCACCCATACTTTCAATTAGTTGACCATGTTCCCAGACTTCCTAAACCTTACCAATCTAGGAAATAACTTCTAATTTGCATCTGCATCTTTAATCCATCTAAATTTCAGTACATGCCAACAGATCAACTGCTAACAAGTTGATCACTCGTAGCTAGATTCACAATACAACTGTTTTACCCCCAAGATCTTCCCTTAAGACCTCTTATCCTCTAACTGATCTACAACCTCTCACCTAGTTAAAATATTGCCTTTGTAAGTCCTCAGATCAATGCACTCATCTTAATTGCAAACCTTTAGTCTATATCTTAATAGCTTCATTATGCACAGTAGCTTAATCAGAAATTGCCTTTGAAAAGCAGAAGTGATATACTATAAAATTATTCCTATTCTCCCAAAAAGCATATGTAAATCATAACTACTTGATCTTGACTATGATGAGAAAAATTTAGAAGACACTTATCCTTATTTCTTGATTAACTAAAGGAAATATTTTATCTAATTCCGTTAAACCAGCAATTGTAATAAATCCCATGATGGGTTATTGACAAAGAACGTCAACATAAATTGACTGTAGCTGAGATAAGAATATCAAGGTGGACATGAAGCAAAACAAGAAGAGAAGATACAAAGTGCTCTTGTTTGTGAGTTGTTTAAGGTAGAGCTTATTGATGAAAAATTGCATAAGAATTTCTTGAGACACTTTAGGCATATTCAAGAAAAGTTGTTAGATTCACCGCTTAGGAAATTGATACAATTGATGTTAACTGATGTTAATGGTCAGTTTACAGGAAGAGGAGAATCAGAAATCATGTGGAAATAGTCAATTATAAAGGGTTTGAGCATTTTACCATTTATATTTGGAGATGATTATTGACAGAGAATGAAAGAAAGGAATCTAGGCAACCTATGGAATAAGGTAATGTGGACTTAAGTTGACGTTCTTATTGTTCTTTCATATCATATGGCCTTAATTTTTGGTTTCCAAGAGCCTGATCAATCGTATGATCACATGCAATATCCAGTTTATTGTAAAATAATCATTTTAACTTATGTAACACAGAAATTACCTTCCCAATAGGATAAGCAATTGGATAACAAATGATCATTAGAATGCGGACCAGCCAAACAAAATTTGCAGCTACAGCAAGTCCATATCTGGTACATATTGCTTGAGGAATAACCTGACAACATAAAGTCATATGAGAATCCAATCATTAAATCGAACTAATCATAAATGAAAAAATATATATATACATATATTATACCTAAACAAAGTTTCATGATGTAATTTACCTCCCCAAATGCTAGAACAAAAGTCACAGATAGTATAATTGCAACATATGGATTGAAAAGTTTATCAAGGTATATTGGAAGGGCCTGCAAGACACAAGATGATGTAAGAGTAGAATTTTAGACTAGTCATTCAGTAGTATATAAAGGACATAATCCTCGACTAAATAAATAAAAGACAAAATACATATATTTCTTCTTCTTCCTCACTATCATTTCACCCTCATTACATAATTTATTCTTTTTTTTTCCTGGTACAACCATTTCTAATCAATAAATAAGATAACTCAAGAATCTAGAGCAAGAGAGTGCTAAAAAAGAAAAAAACTATAACACTGGGACCTTTGTAAATAGCATATCAGCATATGCATGACGGAAACATAATCAATGGAAGCAAATTATATGTTACATAGCTTGTATGTTTCCATTAACTCTAGGTTTTCTTCCCAACTCATTGATTGTTGAAAATCATCACAAACCACAAGAGTGCTAAATTTAGGGTGTGTTTGAGCACCCGCCCCTTTAATTTTTAGAAAAAAAATGTATTATGGAATAATAGAGTGATGGAGAATGTGTGGTTAAAAAAGAAGGAAATTTTTTTTATTTACGTGTAATATTATTTTAAAGAAGAATATGTGGTTGAAAATGAGTACCGTAGAAAAAAATAATGTGGTAAAATGTAAAATAATGGTTGACAAACAGGGGCTTAATATCTATTTGAATCATGGGATAAATCATCAATCACGAGTGACATTTCCCAAGAGATATAGAAGTATGATTAATGGAAAAGATTTTTATTCTATTATGCTTGCATATCAGACATTTATCATCTCAATCTAACTTGTGCTTTATCCAGTTCTCTTTTCGGCAACCACACTGAAAAGAAATAACTAAGCTTTTCTCCTCACACTATTTTACATAATTTATTTCCCAAAATATAGTAAAGTCCCTACATGCTTGAATCCAACATCAGAGCTGGAAATTTTTGTAGAAGCAGAATTACAATATAAGTTTCAATGTGTTACCTCCATTGATGCAGCATTACATAAAAGCAATGTCACGAGAAGCTGGTGTTGCTTCTGAACCACCGGAAGTATTTTGGCCGAAAACAAGAAGTTACCATCGAATAAGGGAAAAAAACAAAAATAAATAAAAAAGAACAGGTTTACCTCTCAGAAATAGGATAAAATCTATTCCCCTTCAAAATTTTAATCATGTCATAAGAAATGAAGCCAATAGCTTACTTTGTCACGTGGATCTGACTAGAACGTTTTTGACTCCGAATTAAAAGACGTAAAAGTTACTTTAAGCTCCTTTTTGCCAACCATAATTTTAAAAGTTACTTCTTTTACTAACAAAAAAATTGTTTCTTGGAAAGCTTGAAAACAAGAAGTTACCATCGAATAAGGGAAAAAAACAAAAATAAATAAAAAAGAACAGGTTTACCTCTCAGAAATAGGATAAAATCTATTCCCCTTCAAAATTTTAATTATGTCATAAGAAATGAAGCCAATAGCTTACTTTGTCACGTGGATCTGACTAGAACGTTTTTGACTCCGAATTAAAAGACGTAAAGTTACTTTAAGCTCCTTTTTGCCAACCATAATTTTAAAAGTTACTTCTTTTACTAACAAAAAAATTGTTTCTTGGAAAGCTTAGCCAAACATGCTCAAACTTCTCTGAAAAGGAAAAAAGGTTACAACAATTAATCTCAATTCAACTAAACCTCTCAATTATAACTACTGATGTTCACGCTGTATTATGAACCGACGGAATTCTGAGTTATATCTATCAGTATAAATAACAGTAATGGGGATAGTAATAAATAATAGCAATAAATATTCTACTTACTATGTAAGATAAAAAAAAGTAATCGATCATTATCCATTTAGCACCATAAACACAAATCTAATCATATTTGCATCAATCACTCCTTCTTCCCCACAAATTATAAACAACAAAGAATAAACAATTTCACAAATTGCTACTCGGTTATGGCGATAACTTAACGAATCAAGTGGAAATGAATAAACTCGGAAATGGACCAACCGGCCTGTTTTTTCTCCGAGGTTGTACCGCTACGCTGGAGGATCTCGAGTTCGACGAGGCCCAAGGACATTAGACCCAACGTCAATCCGGACATAATCCCGGCAAACAACACTAAAACACATGAGATCCCTGCATATACAAACCACCAAACTGTTCCAAATTCGATTTCGGCTCCCAATACGCCGCCGTTCCTGATCGCCACATGAACCAGCGCCACCACATTTATCAGATGCATATTTTTTTGTTTTACAGTTTCGGAATTCTCAGTTCCCAAATCTGGGAAAAGCCCAAGTTTTCATGAGATTATGGGAATGTGGTGGAGTTGATGATTGAGAGAGCAGGATACTGTTGACTTTCTTCTTTCATGGTGTACCAAAGCTGTTTGCACATATGAATTGTACAGACGGCCGGACTAACTGTGTGTGTGTTTTTTTTGTTAAGGATAACCTCATCTGTACTTTACATTTCTTCGTCATGCGTCACATCATCCTATTAGAAAGAATTGATCGATGAAAAACTATATTTTAAAATTGTCAAATGATGCATTGCTATAGGACGAAGGGTGAAATTTGGGGTATACATAACCAATGGTTCGAGCTCGATTCGTTCAAAAATGGGCGAGTTCAGCTCGTGGGTCGAGTCGAGCCGGGCTCGCGAATAGACGTCGTTTTTCATTTTTTTTTTTTGGGGGAACAAATAGGTAATTTGAAAAATAAAAAAGTAATTTTTAAATCGTGAATTATATATAAAAAACTAAGTAAAAAATTTAAACACTCCTCCTTTATTCGAGATTGGGATCAGCTACTTAAATTTAGAATAGGAGGAGTTAAAAATTGTGTTGTTTGTTTGTTTATTCGTGCACAATTTTTTAAAGAAAATTTAAAACAGGATTAAAAATTATTTTTTCAAGCAACGCTACGCGTCCCCTTGCATTTAATTTTCGAAGAAAATCCCTTCTAAAAATTGAAAGGATAATCGAATGCACTTTCAATTGTCAGAAGTCTTCACTTCGAAAATTATATAAAAGTCTTTCACTTCGAAAATTATATATAATTTTTGAAGTGAAAGACTTCTGACAATTGAAAGGTAATTATTCGATTACCCTTTCAATTTTTAGAAGGAATTTACTTCAAAAATTATATGTAAAGGTACGCATAGCGTAGTTCGAGAAAAGAATTTAAAATGTAGATATAATAGTAGTAATAGTATCAAGTACTAACACAAATTTAACTAAATTAGTGGAAATGAATTTTTTTTATTTTTTATTTTAACTAAAAGAGATAGAAAAAATAAAAATGAAAGCTTTATTATTATTTTTTTAAAATAGATCAAATATAAACCCTCCTCCTTTATCCGGATTTGGAACCAGCTACTTAAGTTTTCAGTAGGCGGAGTTAAAAATTGTACACGAACAATTTTTTGTAGCGTGTACACTTTTTTAAAGAAAATTAAAAGTAACGATAAGAAAAGAAAAGTTTCGTCAATATAATTAAATTAAATATCACTTACTTGACGACATACAATTTCGGTATATTTATATGTAGTCGAAAATGAGCATCCTGTCAATTCTTAACGCACATTAACGCTTCTAAAATATTTTCTTTCAGTCGGCTCCTGACATCGCTCAAAATTCTTTTGCCTGCACTAAAAGCAGAGTCCGAAGCAACAGTGCTAACCGGAGGTATCAGCAGATCTTTTGCAATCGCAAATATAATTGGCCAACGTCGTTCATACCTTCGCTAGAATTCAATTACTTCGTCTGAACTTTTTTTAATTGTTTTATCTGTTGGCATATTCTGGTTGAAATAATCAATTAATTCAACAGGCAATGCATTATGGCTTGAGCCCGTAGATGTATGATGAGAATGAGATACAGGTGGTGATAACATGGCAGTGGCAGTGGTAGTAGATGAACACATTGCAGATGAATCAAATCTATATGAATTAATGCCTTGAAATAAATTAAATATTTTTGCATCTTCTTCTTCAATTTCAGTGGAAGGAGCAGGTGTAGATGGTACCCGACTAATATTGGTACACATTCGGTTCGCATATAATTCATACATTTCACATAATGTTTACTCTAAATTTCTATATGTGATAAGTGTATCAAATGTTAAGGCGTTTGAAATTTGATCAATTATATATTTAGTTCCCGATAAATTATATTGGGGGTCCATCACACATGCTAAAGGAAATAACATAGACAAATCTTCCCAATATTTTCTAAATTTTAATTCCATAGCAATTATAATTTCACTAAAATCAGGGTCATTTCTGTATTTATGAAAACGTTCAAGCACCATACAGCTGGTGGAATAGTAAACGCTCGATAAAATCTTAGGGATTTCATAAAAAGATGTCAAAATTTTTTTAACTTTCAAAACTAAATGCCAATCACGTTCAGTCAACATACTCTCGTCATCACTTCTAACATGTTTATTGTTATAAAAGTCAGTTATTAAATGTTCAAAACCTTCACATGACTTTAATAACAAGTAAGTAGAGTTCCACCTATGACCTACGTCGCTAACAAATGTTTTCGCATTTTACACTCCTATTTCGGCACAATAATCCTCAAATGCTTGTTTTCTACTTGGAGAGATTATGATATATATTAGTGTATTCCTAATATTTTGAAGTTCATCCTTTATATATTTTAAATCATCTTGGACAATTAAATTCGAAATATTATATACACAACGAATATGAAGCAAATATCCACCAAAATCAAGTTGTAGTACCCTGTGCAAATTTTCAGCAACTACCTTATTAACACTAGCATTATCGAAAGTAAATGAACGAATTTTACCTTCGCAATGATATTCTCTAACAATACTAATAATATTATTAGCGTTGAGGAAACTTAATAATTCTAAAAGCAATAATTTTTTTATGCATGCACCAAAGTGGGTCTATATAATGTGCAGTTGCAGCTATATATGCTCTTTTATTAATCCATTCTCATATATCTGAAGTTAAAGATATGACACCCCCATATTTTTGTAAATTCATAATTAATTGTTGTTTTGTTGAAGTAAAATATTGTATTGTATCGGAACGAAAAGTGTTTCGACTTACCCCAACGTACCTTGATTGCAGATATTCTTTCACATATGAGGCATAGTGTTGGTTGTCAATTAATGCCAAAGGCAATTCACCACTAACAACAAGTTTCACCATTTCGGTTCGAGCTTTCTCCTCCGAATACACCCATGTGGATAGGGGTGCAGTAAAACCACCGACGTCTGGACTGCCAAATTGCAATTGTGTTTGAGAGCCTGGAATAACTCCGTGTTTGGCCGCACATACTTTGTAATGACGGTTGAGATGGGTGGTCCCAATTCCTCTCTGCCATGCCAATCTTTGTTGGCAGTATTTACATACTGCTTTGAATTCTTCGACTCCATTGACGATTTTTCCCATTGAAATCAACTTAAAATGATCCCAACATTTTGCATGTTTTTTCCCCTTTCGCTTTCCCCTCACATCAGGAATGTTTAATTCACCTCTTCATCTTGACCATGTTCCGCTTCGGGAACGTCAACATCATCCAAATTAATTGGATAATTTGGATTGCCGCTTACATGATGATGAAGATCCAAATCTAGAATATCTTCAGGTAAGGGTACGTCATTTAGACCTTCAAATTGATTCTGAAATTGACTTTGCAGTGTCATAGGTGATTCGTTTCCTCCCACACCGAACAAGTTTTCGACAAATGAGCGTGGATCCATTTGTTTAGTTGTAATAAGTAATAACTAGTAGAAGAATAATTGTATAAATGTAGTGAGAAATGAAAATTGGATGAAATTTCAATAAATATAGTGAGAAATGAGAATTGAATATTGTATAAATTGTATATAAAAATTGCACAACTATCAACACAATACAAGAAAGTTGAGAGAAAGATAATTGAGAGTTGAGAGTGAATTGTAGAAAAATTTGTGACTAAATGTCACTATTTATAGAAGAAGAAAAAAAAATATATATATATAAGGATCAAAACGGTCACTGAAAAAATTCAGTGACCGTTAACGGTCAAAACCAAAAAAGAAAAAATAATAATAATAATTAGGGGATTGAAACGGTCACTGACAAAAGTCAGTGACCGTGGATAAAGTGACCGAAACGGTCACTTTTTAAAAAATGTGACCGTTTCGATCACATTTAAACATGAGCCCACGAGCCACGAGCCCTCGTTTTTTGTGCACTCAGCTCGCCCATCGAATCAGCCCACTCGGCTCACGCTTGGACTCGTGTTTTTACGAGCCCGAGTCGCCCATGAGCTCCGTGTTCGCGAGCCGACGAGCCGCTCGGCCCATTTGCTACCCCTATACATAGCCCTTGTTTGATCTCCATTCTTTAGAAAAAATGAATTCTTCTACAGTGTTTTAACATCATTTCAACCACACATTCTTCAATAAAATAATATTACATATAAATTCAAAATTTTTTCTTATTTTTTAACCACACATTTCTCATCAATGCACTATTCAAAAATTCATTTTTCCACTCAAAATGGGAGTCAAACAAGGGCTATGATGTACATCAAGCATGATTTGTTAAGAATAAAGATGGTATAAGATTTTATTAACTGTAATTTTCGTTATCAGGTGGTACATGTAGCATTTTTATTTACGTACAAAGGTCAAAATATCTTCAACAAAATTAAAAAAAATAAAAAACTTTTTTATTCTCTTTTTAACACCTAATCAATATGTTGATCATTTTATAACTCTTCCTCAATTCTAGTCATATAAAATTTGATTGTACTATATGTAAGTAATATATACAGTATAATATGATGAGATATGATTAGATCAAAATTTTTTTGACCAAATAAAAAAAAAACTTTTCAATTCTATTTTTTATTTACAGTTTGTAAATCAATATATAACTCCTTATGTATAAGCATTGGCGGACCCATGGTGGGTCACGACCTACCAACTGAAAAGGTTTTTTATTTTTATTTTTATTTTTATTTTTATTTTTATTTTTTATTTTTTAAGTAAAGTTGAAAATGTTAGAATTTGGGTGTGACCCGAATTTATTGTTGAAATAATTATAGAGTTCTAATTGAAGTGCACATCAAGAGAAATTCTAATTAAAATGCTATTGAGTAATCCTATTCAAGTTTAATTGACAAATTTTAGTTAAAATTCTATTTCAAAACTTATTGGAAGTTGAAATTTGTGTTGGATTTGATGAGATCAAATAAAGAAATTTTTGACATTTTATTTTATCTACAACTTTACTTCTAAGGATGGATTTTTTTGTATAAATACCAGATTCTTTTTTCCAGATTTGAGAAGCCAATATTGCTAAGTTCTTTGTATTCTCCATATTGCTATTGAATAAAATATCGATTTCTCTACTTATCTTTGTTCTTTTTCTTTACTTTAATCATGTTTTATTGATTGTGATCTTACATATTTCATATCAACCCATTATATCTCAATTTTTGTGTCG